GTTTTGGTACTAAAGGAAAAACGCACTGAGGTCACCGTGGCAATAGACATGGGGCAGGGAATGGGAGTGGAACATCTGGATAAGCTGCTCCAGGAGAGTGGGAGCAGAGGAAGAGGAAAAGCTGGAGGAGGAGGAGAGCAAGGGGTGAAACATCTGCCAAGCAGGCCCCAAGGCTTAGGTGGAGGTAGGATCTTGTGACCAGATTTCCCACAGGCAGTTATTCACTTAGCTAACCAGCAGCCAGCTAGAGGGAGGCCAGGGTAGAGACATATGGAACAAGTTGATTGTTTTTAGGCTTATATTTCTTGTGTTTTTTTTCTTTTTACCACTATTTCTCAGGGCAGCATAGCAAATAATCTTGTAATTTTCTGAAGTTTGTCCTAAACTGTTTTGTCCACTTTTGCATTCTTGGCATATTTAATGATTACTCATTTTAATGTTTGAGCATCTGAACAACACTGAGAAATAGTAAAAACTTAAAGTTCCTGATGGAACTATTTTCCCTTCTCAGTCCCCTTTGTTGTTTTATAACTTGCTCTTCACCCATCAAAAGCATTTCTGCTGTTTTTTTTTTGGAAAATCCCCTGCCCCTGAGCTTTGTGGAGGAGAGGAAGCATTGAATGGTTCCTCTTGCCTATTCTCTCTTTTCCTTACCTACCATTCCTGGTAACAAGTGCTTCTCAAACTTTACAATGCAAGTAAATTTCCTGTGGATCTTGAAAATACAAATTTTGGTTTACTGCGGCTGGAGCTGAGCCAAGATTCTGCATTTTTAATATGCCCCCAGTAATGCAGGTGCTCCTGGTCCAGAGACCAAATTCTAAGTAGCAGGGCTCAATGGTATAAGGCAGTGAGATAACACAGTGATTAAAACTACAAGATTGGGAGATTTTTCATCGGGCAGATGAGGAATTGAATCCAGGGGCTGACACATAACAATTACTTGTTCTTGAGCAAGTTATTTTCTCTCTCAACCTCAGTTTCCCCATCTATCTGTCTTGAAGACTAAGTGAGTTAATATACATATAATATGCTTAGAGCATTGCCTGGAACAGACTCTGTGTGTGTGTGTGTGTGTGTGTGTGTGTGTGTGTATGTGTGTGTGTGTGTGTGTTTGAGACAGGGTCTTGCTCTATTATCCAGGCTGTTATCCAGGCTCTGTTATCCAGTGGTATGATCTCAGCTCACTGTAGTCTCAACCTCCTGCACTCAAGCAATCCTCCCACCTCAGCCTCCCTAGTAGCTGGGACTAGAAGCATGCACCACTACACTCAGTTAATTTTTATATTTTTAGTGGAGATGGGGTTTTACTATGCTACCTAGACTGGTCTCGAATTCCTGGGCTCCAGTGATCCACAGGTTTTGCCCTCTGAAGTGCTGGGATTACAGGTGTGAGCCACTGTGCCTGGCCCAAACTGTTATTGAATTTAGTTATCATTAGTATTAATATAGTTTTATTGTTATTATTACTGTTATTGTAGTTCTAAAAGATAGCATATTAAAATTGATTATAGTAGAACATTTTAAAGGTCCAAACACAGACTTATAAGCTTCTTATGTGTATATACCTATGTTTTTCATGTTAAGATGTTGATTACCATTATCAGAAGGGCATGTTTTGAGTCATGGTTTCAATTAAAGAAAAACAAAACACTATGGGTTTTAAACTATCCTCTGTCTGTTTTCTAGACTCCTTTGTGACCAATAACATGAATTTGTAAGTTGGCAAGCCCAGATTTAGTAGCATAGACTCTAGTTACTAGCCCAGAAAAGCCAACTGGCCCAATGCCTGTGACTGCCACTTTAATATCCTATTGTGGATTGAGTGTCCCTGATTTAAAAACCCAAAATGCAAAATGCTCAATGCTTCAAAATTGGAAATGTTTTGAGCCACCTAAATATTTCAGATTTTCAGATTTGGGGTGCTCAATTGGTATAATGCCAATATTCCAAAATACAAAAAAATTGAACTACAAAACACTTCTGGTTTTAAGTATTTCTGCTAAGAGATAGTCAACCTGTGCTACTAACAAAAATGGTGAGCCAGTGATTGATTTTTTGAGTGATGCTGTCTCTTCATGTACTGTAAGCCTGTCCTTTTAAAAAATTATTTAGTAATGAAATGTTGATCATCATTGTATATCAGGTACCTCTAAGTGCTCTTTATCACTTTCTCCTCATCTGATCAAAGCTGGTTTTGTTACGTTATTTGGAGAAATGTAGATGGATAGAGAAGTAGATGTAGCTTGGTGACATCTATGATCATCATCCTTTTGTCCTGTTAGGGGAGAAACCTCCAGGTATAAACCCTAATTGGCTTGTAGAGTTTATTAAGGTCTTATAAGATACTGGGAGATTTTCCCTGCCCTTAGGTGTTCTCTCGGCAGGACAAGATACTTCTAGAGCCAAAATTGACACTCAGATTCATTTCTGTTCAGTGACTCCTTTTGCCAATTCTGGGAAAAAGTGGAAAACTGAGAAAAAAGACCAGAGGTTTTCTTAATTTAATCTAGAGATAATTTGCTTGGTGCAGACTTTAGCCAGGTATAAATCTGTATATATAACATTTGGCCAGATCTGATTGAGAGTCTAGAGCTGTGCTATACAATAAGGTAGGCACTAGCTACATCTGGCTTTTAAATTTTAAGTTATATAAAGTTTAAAATCCAGTTCCTCAGTCACACCAGTCATATTTCACATGCATAGTAGTTACATATGGTACGTAGTTACTGTATTGGACAATGCACATTACAGAACATTTCCATTATCAAAGATTATTCTAGAAAAGAGATAGAAAATTTTTGTTCTTCTGAATGATCAGTGATGGCTACTTGGAGAAATGTGTAAAGAAGATTCTGAGATTATATCCAAGTCAACCCCAAGTTGCTTAATTATGGGTTAGCAATATGTGTCCTAGGAAGAGAGAGCTGGGTAAGGTATGGGGGAGTTAGCTGTGGCATATGTGCTGAGTGTCTTCCAGACAAAAAACCCACAAGGGCAAGAGTAGAATATTTAATCTAGAGAGGCTGATTATTATTATTTGGTAGGAACAGGTTTTTTGTTTGTTTGTTTTCTTTTAGCAGAAATCCTTGAGAGAGAGGTGAGAAGCTTTTGAAATTTTCTCATTCCTTAGTTTCCTGTTTAAGTAGCAATCACTTTTGTTGTTTCTGAGATTAACAGTGATACTTTGTTTTTGCATAAAATGAAATCACATTGGCTGCCACTTGTTGGCTTATCCCTCACATAAGGAATGGTTGTTATGTAAATAAGCATAACCCTCCAATAATCCAAAAGTAATTTCATGATCAAGTCACTTTTTACCTGCCAACACACAAAACTGGCTGAGGATGTTTTTTCTTTATTTTGCTTCTTTAATATCTTCTGATGAAGGATAACAAGTGGGAATTAAAATCAAAAGGAAACAAGGAAAAGCTGGTAGTTTTGTCACTCTCTGTATAATCACTGTTTTCAGAATTTGAGGTCTATAACTGATGACATTTTTTAAATCTCTAATAATTAAGGGTAACTAGGATTGTTTCCCTACTAGTTTCCAAACTAGAAAATAGATTTTAAAACTAAACGACCAGTTTGGCAACTTTTATGTGACTTTGAGCAAATTACTTATCATGACCTCTCTGAGCCTTAGGTTCTCCACCTGTGAAATGGTGTGAAACAGTATCTACCTTTGTGAATAATGGGTAAGGACTAAGTGAAATATAAAACCCGGAGTGCCTGATACCACTACTGTAAGGACTCAAATGTTAAACCATATTGTTTGGGAAAAGTAGACCACACGCACTTGAAGGCGAACACTCTCTGTTCTGTCTTGGCCCTGTCACTTAACAGTGTGTGACTGTTGTCTGGTTGTTTACCCTCTTTTGACTTTGGCTTTCCCTTTTGTAAAATGGGTAACAGTAGAAGCTATTACAAAGGGAGTGTTCAGGATTAAATCAGATAATGCACATCAAGATAATGCAAGCACCTAGTACTTTGGGAGGCCAAGGCAGGTGGATCACTTGAGATCAGGGGTTACCAGTCTGGTCAACATGGTGAAACCCTGTCTCTACTAAAAATACAAAAATTAGCCAGCTGTGGCGGCAGGTGCCTGTAATTCCAGCTACTTGCGAGGCTGAGGCAAGAGAATCACTTGAACTTCAGAGGTAGAGGTTGTAGTGAGCCAAGATTATGCCACTGCACTCCAATCTGGGTGACAGAATGAGACTGTATTATCAAAGTGTACAAATATTGTAATATATTTTAATAAGATATTGCCAATTGATTTCTAGGAAAATTCTCCCAATTTAGTCACACAAGTAGTTCAAGCACCTAATTTCACCCTTTGCCGTTGTATATGTCTTTTTTATTATTGTATACCAAAGTGATATGCAAAAATGGTATCTTGTAACTTGCATTTCCTTATAATTTGCATGTCTTCCTTGTAATTTACATTTACCAGTAGAAATGATGACTAGTTTTACATGTTTAATTGGCTAATTGTATTTCTCCTTTGTACATTATTTATTGACGTCCATGCCTATTTTTCTCTTAACCGTCTTTTTTCTTTCTAAATCAGTGGGTTCTTTGTACATTATAATAATTAATGTTATTTATAAACAAAAATTTACCGAGCATTTAGAACATTCAGTTGAGGAAACGATGGCAGAAAGACTAGTTTATCTAGTTTTTTTGAACCTTGTGTACTTGTCTAGCTTCTTGCTGTTTTTGTTGTTCGTCTTTTTCATAGCACCTGGCACAGTCCAGTGCCCTGCACTTAGTAGGAGCAAAATAAATGCTTGTTAACTTACATTGACACTGACCACCATCACTTCTACTCTTTGTGCTCAGGAGCCATTCCTTCCTGGGTGCCTTTGTCACAGCCACAGCTTTAGTTCAGACGGGTCAGCATTTGTTGGCCTTGACTTGATTTTTCTTTGATATGTTTTAATGATGCTTTCTAAAAACTCTGTAAAGTCAGGTTATTTCCCTCACTTTATTTCTAGGTAACAAACCTGAATTTGGCAGCTGGCATGATAAACAGAGGCAGTGCTTCAACTCCCCCCACCCTCCAACCCATCATCAGTCCTAGTGGCCCGACATGGTTGATACAGTCAGACCCCCAAGCTCCCGAGAATCACTCCAGCCCTCCTGGAAGCAGGTATGTGAAGGGCCCTGCAACTAGCATCACAGGGATGACCTGTGTCCCAAGCAAGCCATTCCCACCTGGAGTTCTGTATGGAGATACCACTAAGGTGTTAGGCCCTTTCTTCACCTGCCTCCATCTTCTGGCACCTGACTAAGAGAGCCTCATTTTATTTGTAAGACAGTTTTCAGACATTATCAAATGAAGAGGACATTTCTGAGATAGCTAAGAAAGTCACCTTGGGCTGGAAGAGCAAGAATTTACACTGTGTTTCATCCTTGCTTATTATAGTCAGCATTTTCATGTACCAACTTTTGGTACTTTGTCCTTGTCTCCTAGGTTTTTTTTTCATACCTTGTGTTTTTTATAGTTTTTTGTACTACATTGTGTTTGTTTCAGTAACTTTAGACTCTGTTCTTTTGAAGGATATATTTGTTGTTGTTGTTTTTATCTAGTTTCATATTGTTGATCTCAAACAACCTCCCTGAACAATGCTCATTTGGGAAGTGGGAAAGAAATTTCCTTTATGTAGTTGAGAGATGTGGCTAAAGATAAAATCCAAGTCGCTTCTGGCCATAATGTAAGCAGCTTCTGAATTTAAAAAGAAACCACTATATTATTGAATTCTTGTCTTGCTGTGTGTTTTAATTACCCCTGTATTTAACAAAAGGTAAGAAATAGATTCCCAGTGCATCTTGCTTTAGTGCATATTAAATGTAAGTTAAATTGCATCAGTCCCTGAGTCAAATGAGCTAGAGAGAAATGTGACTGTTACAATGAATTTTTTTTTGTTTGTTTTTTTTTTTTTTTTGAGATAGAGTCTCACTCTGTTGCCTAGGCTGGAGACTGGTGGCACAATCTTGGCTTGCTGCAACCTCCACCGCCCAGGTTCGAGGAATTCTCCTGCCTCAGCCTCCTGAGTAACTGGGACTACAAGTGCATGCCACCATGCCTGGCTAATTTTTTGTATTTTTAGTAGAGACAGAGTTTTACCATGTTAGCCAGAATGGTCTCCATCTCCTGACCTTGTGATCCACCCACTTCGACCTCCCAAAGTGCTGGGATTACAGGTGTGAGCCACTGCTCCCAGCCATTAAGTATTTTGACCAACTGAGATACTGTTCCCTCCAACTAAAGAAGTTCTATCACAGGTGCCCAACCAAGCCCCCACACCCTGTCCCAGTACTTCCAGCCTCTGCCTTTTAGTATGCTGCCTTGCCCTGAGATTTGGAGGGGGCACTGAAGACTTAGGCATGGAGGAAATACCTAGTTGTTGGTAAAGTATCTGTTGGTGTTAGAATGACTCTTAAGGAGCTAATTTGGGAAGCAGAAGCTCTGCCTAGGAAGCAGCATAAATATAAGCACATTACATCATCCTGTGGTACAGTGTCTTTCATACCAGTGATCATTGTGGTCAGGGTGAAAAGAATCATCTCAACTGAGAATTACAAAGAGCTGACAACCAAGAGGCAGGACTTTTTAAGGCAGAGCATCCTCCACATGGTTATTTTCCCAGGAGAAGTCTGCTGTTTGGTGATTTACAACCTACAGAGTAACTGCATTCCTAAAACATAAGTCGTAAAAAAGAAATTCTGTAATTCTGTTTATACCGTAGAGCTTTATTTTCCATTAAAAAATTCCAGATATTCCATTTTCATTTTAAATTCAGAGCCTTGTTTTTTTTGTTTTTTCCGGATTTGGCACAAAAGTACAGAGCTTTGATTTTATGGAAAACATTTTCACTACAATTTTGGATATAATGTCTCTATGACAAGGCTACAGGCATTGCCTACTGCAAATACAATGTCAAAACTACACATTTTGGAGAAACCGAGTTTTAGCACTTTTTATACTTGTAGATGGAATGAGAGAAAACATTTTTAATAAAAATTGTGGCTAAGTTTAGAGCTTTCTTTTGGTCGCACCTGTCAGGACTGAGATGAAAATGATGAGTTCTGTCAAGGACGCGCCGGGACCTAAGGTTCAGCCTGTGAGAAGCCTTCTCCCAGCCAGACTGCCCACAAGGCTGCGGTAATGCTCTCACGGTGCATTACACGATTTCCTTCTCAACCACTGCAGCCAAAAAGCAACCCCCATAAAGTCCCCTGGTCTTTTCCTTTTCGAGTTCTTTTCACCCACAACAGCTCCACTGAGTGCTTTACCTCCTCTTCAAACATAAGAGCCAGTTCTCAGGTCCCATTGCAGTTCAGGGTAGCCCTGGGACATCTTCCTCTGCCCCCAGGTGACCTCTGGTTGCCAGGACTGCCTGGAGCCTGAGCTTCAGAGTTTCAGTTCCACATGGAATTCCCAGAGGTATCCACCCTAAAGGAACCTTAAGTGAATTCTCAGAGGTCTTTCCAGACTTGTCTGTGATGTAGGCCCCAGCCAGACCTGCAGCATGCAACCTGCACGGTGCAGTGTCCTGATTTCCATTTTTACCTGGTAAGTCACTGTTTCGTGATATTTATTTAGTCTCTTGTTGTTCCTCCTTTAATCATAAGAGTGACTAAGTTTAACAAATACAGGATTTGTAGCTTGGAGATCTGAGTTTTATTACTGGTTTTGACATTAAGTGACCCTAAGCTATTCATTTAATGTTTTTATTGGGTAAGCATACTTACCTATAGGTGGCCTGTTTTGAGAGCTTTTAGATTGCCTTTAAAGCACTTTGATCTCCCTAGAAGTAGGTGCTAGGTACATAAAAGGTACTCTTAATAGTTTTTCTACAGTAGCAACAGTGGATTCCAGTTTAGTTCTGATAATTCACTACACTACGGGCTTCCCTGTAAACTGTACTAAAATGTAAAGAGAATCCTATTGCTAGCTGTACTTTTCATCTCAGCACGTCAGAGAATTCACTGACTTGGTAGCCACAGGAATGAAAACTGGTGACTCACAAGAACTCTGCAAATGGTATTATTTTTCATTTCCCTATGGTGTTGCTATTGTTCTCAGTTTTATGAATCACACAAGTTTTCATCAAACGACCTTATTCTTCTCCCATCATTTTGAAATCACTCCAAATGTAGCCTCAGGGTTGTCGTCTCCCATTGGGTCAGTATAAGCTCAGCCCAGCTCCTCAAATCCCTTGGTTCCTTTGGTCTGTCTGGAGTCCTGTTCCGGCTTTGTTGTGGGAGAGGAAGGCAAAGAGCCCACGACTTGCCCAGACAGTCTGAGGCCTGGCCGTGTAGCTTGCAGTTCCCTAGACACTCTGGAGCTGGACTTGGCCAGCCATCCCTCTGTTGTTACTTTTTCAGAGGTAATAAGTGAGATTAATTGCAGGCCATTCTCCAGAAGAGAAAGTAGTTAGAGCCAAATACAGTCACATGTTTAGAAGCCTGAGGTGTGCCTCCAAGCAAGGCTGACTTAGAATTATAGAGTAGGGACTCCAGGATGCAGGTACCAAGTGTTTATGACCTCTCTCTTCCTTAAAGTGATATTTTCAGTTTCTAGGTGCTGATATGTGGGTATGTTAGCTTTTCTTGGGCCAATAAGAAAGATTAGATTTTTCAAGCTGCCTTTTAATTATCCGCTTTTTGGGCACATGGGGAGTCATTAGGAGCTGAAAGTTGATGTGCAGAGCCATCTCATCGTTACTGCCAGCCTTCCGTGGAATTGGACTACATCAGAGAGGATTTTCTAGGTGTGGAGTACTCAGTGGGCTCTCAGTGCGTTTTTCTTTGTGAGACCTGGAAGGGTTACTGTAAAGTCTTGGCTGCTGCTTGGAATGATTTGGGAAGAACAGGGCCTCAGACAGCTTGGCAGGAACCTGAGGCCCTGTTTTTTTCCAGTCCAGCCCTTCCTTGTGGATCGAGCTGTCAGGGAATCCCACGAATGTCTGGCTTCTGCCCCTTTGTATGTTTTTCCAGCATTTGTCATTGAATTATTTTTATCCACCTCTGGCTTTTTCACACACGCATCCTGGGGATTTGTCTGTTCCTCGATATGAAAGGTGGGGGAATTTGCAGAAAGCATAGCCATGAGTTTGTTCCTATTTTTTGTGATAGGACAAGACATTGTGGGCATGGGCTGCTCGACCTGGCCAGCTCCCATTCTCTATAGAGAACGTCTATATGTCAGAACTTGAAATGACACCAAGGAATGGGAAATCTTGGGAAATTGGAGCCATTTTCTGTGTCACCCTGTCCTTCTCTCTTATTCAACAATAGACTATAAATAGTTTGGTATTCTGCTTTGCATAATTTTAATGTACATATTTTTTAGAGATTCTGATTCTAGTTTGGCTAATAATACTTTCCTCCCTTCCTTTAGGTCTTAGAAATGTTGGTGGGATTCGGGTCTCTAACTTCTCATCTTTTCATTCTCAATTAGTCCTCAGAAATACTGAGTTCGTTAATTTCCTTTAAAAATATATCCTATGCATTTTCTATATGTCAGGCGTTGTGTTCATTGCTAGGGAGGAGCAGTAAATAAAACAGAATAGTTCCCAATCTCAGAGTTTACTCTCTAGGGTGTATCTTCCATGTTCTCAGCACGGTGTTGGGTGCTGGGTAGGGTCTAAAAGACTTTTTAAGACCTGATGTTTGATCACTAAGAGGCTACTATCTAGCAGGGAAAGGGAGCATATACATACACTCGAAATAATCAGAGCAGTGGCAGGCAGCATATGATAAAGATCTGAATTTTATGGCATAGACATTAGAAGAAAGGGCGTCAAGAAAGGCATGTAAGGAGTCAGTCCTGTCCCAGATGAACCTTGAGGACTGTATGCTCAGTGAAGCCAGCCAGTCAGAAAAGGAGAAATCCTGTATGTGTTCACTCATACGAAACATCTAAGGTAGTCAAAATCATAGAAACAGAAAGTAGAAAGATGATTGCCAAGGGCTGGGGGAAGAGGGGAGGGGGAATTAGTATTTAATGGGTATAGAGTTTCAGTTGTGAAAGATGAAAATGTTCTAGAAATCTGTTGCAGAACGATGTGAATGCACTTAACACTCCTGAATTATACATGTAAAAATGGTTAAGGTGGTACATTTAAAATTATGTGTTTTTCT